GTGAGAATGAGGTGAAGATGACTAACCTGTATCTATGTGAGAATGAGGTGAAGACGACTAACCTGTATCTAAGTGAGATTGAGGTGAAGATGACTAACCTGTATCTATATGAAAATGAGGTGAAGATGACTAACTTGTATCTATATGAGAATGAGGTGGAGTTGACTAACCTGTATCTATATGAGAATGAGGTGAAGATGACTGACCTGTATCTATATGAGAATGAGGTGGAGATGACTAACCTGTATCTATATGAAAATGAGGTGAAGATGACTAACCTGTATCTATATGAGAATGAGGTGAAGATGACTAACCTGTATCTATATGAAAATGAGGTGAAGATGACTAACCTGTATCTATATGAGAATGAGGTGGAGATGACTAACCTGTATCTATATGAAAATGAGGTCAAGATGACTAACTTGTATCAATGTGAGAATGAGGTCAAGATGACTAACCTATATCTATATGAGAATGAGGTCAAGATGACTAACCTGTATCTATATGAGAATGGGGTGGAGATGACTAACCTGTATCTATATGAGAATGAGGTGGAGATTACTAACCTGTATCTATATGAGAATGAGGTGGAGATGACTAATCTGTATCTATATGAGAATGAGGTGGAGATGACTAACCTGTATTTATATGAGAATGAGGTGGAGATGACTAACCTGTATCTATATGAGAATGAGGTGGAGATGACTAACCTGTATCTATATGAGAATGAGGTCAAGATGACTAACCTGTATCTATATGAGAATGAGGTCAAGATGACTAACCTGTATCTATATGAGAATGAGGTGGAGTTGACTAACCTGTATCTATATGAGAATGAGGTGGAGATGACTAACCTGTATCTATATGAGAATGAGGTCAAGATGACTAACCTGTATCTATGTGAGAATGAGGTGGAGATGACTAACCTGTATCTATATGAGAATGAGGTGGAGATGACTAACCTGTATCTATATGAGAATGAGGTCAAGATGACTAACTTGTATCTATATGAGAATGAGGTGGAGATGACTAACCTGTATCTATGTGAGAATGAGGTGGAGATGACTAACCTGTATCTATGTGAGAATGAGGTGGAGATGACTAACCTGTATCTATATGAGAATGAGGTGGAGATGACTAACCTGTATCTATATGAGAATGAGGTGGAGATGACTAACCTGTATCTATATGAGAATGTCCCATGGCGTAAATTGTATGTTGACTGTCTCCATTCTTCTGGTTAAAAAACATGTCAGCTATTTTCTTGGCTCTAGAATGAGATGAAATCAAACTTTAACATCCTAGTTGCAGATTGGACTAGTGTTAAGGTGAAATGAGAATACACCTGATAGAAGGCCAGGATGAGGTACGAAGCAACGAATAGTGAAATGGACATTTTCTTCATTTATCAGAAGTGGAGCAGTAAAGAAGGGGGCATAAGTCATTTTCTTTTAATAAGAAACTATTAAGTCTATGATTTTCAACTTTACCTTGTACAGAATGATATTATTTAGTAATACAGTTAAACCCCTGGTTCTCAACATTGTATGACATGTATTGGAATTTCTATGTTAAGACACCTGAGACAAATGTTATAAATTGGTCGTATAGTTGACAGTAGTGTGTAGTACAAGAGGCCTCTCAGGTAGTCCTATTGTTATATTCCTCTAGGCTGATATTCTGTATATTCTGATATAAGTTACTTTATATTAAGCATTTTAAAGATGGGTTTGTTTATTTTTTAATGTCATGAGTAAACTATTTGATTATTTAGTGTTTGTAATGAATTATCATGTATTCTTAATCATATCATTATGTTCTTATTGCATATAATTAAGAGTTTTAACCAATCATAAATGTCCATATATGTACAGTTTGGATAAAAAAAAAGAAGACTTTTTGACCTTTCTTGATTGGTCACTCATTGGAATTCTGCTGGTAATTATCTTCTAATTTAGATAATTATGAAGTAATTATGGATATGTGAGACAAACTGGTATTTTTCGAAGTTATTAGAACACCTCTACTTTCTATTCATATAATTATTAGTATTTTCATTTTCATATAGACCTTGTGAGAGGACCATGATGCATCAGGTATAATAAAGTTTATTTATTTTATATTACTAGAGCCCCCAGTATATAAGTATGTAATATAAAACAATTATACAGTACCTGTTATAAGAAGAACTCTCTCCAACCTCTATAATATTTATTATTTTATTGACTGTATATAGAGCCTGATATCCTCTTTCAGAATCTTCAGATAATTCCTATAATTATACAAATAATATTAATAACTCATATTATATCAAAAAAACTGATAATAGCTTTAAGATATATGGATTGTGAAGATTTTTTCTTGAGTATTACTGCCATTTTGTCTTTTATTTGCACCATGTGTATTTCTAGTCAGAAGTCTGTGGTTTCTGTAATTATAGAAACTGTGTATGATGACACTATCACAAAGGTTGCTAATAGTATTAAAGGACCGTCATCAAACACTTAGTTTTACTGGATTTGCAAAACCTACAGAAGTCTGACTGATAATCGGAATAGGGTAAATCATTGTCCTTGATAAAAGAAGAAAATTTCTATAATTAATGACAAAGGTTCAGTAAGAAATGATAGAAAAATGTTAAAATTGATTTAAATTTGAGAAATGATCAAGTCATCTTTACCTTGGCCATATCATGTAGTATCTCAACATCAATCATAAGTTTATAAACCTGACGATCAAACACGGCTAGTTCAGCTTGTTGTAATGTAAAACATTTCTTAAAATCTGGTGGGTTTATCATTCCATTTAATCCACAACCCAACAATCCATTACACGCCATCTCTATATACAATACCTGACTACCAGAGCTATAATATATACATCAAATATTAGATATGAGGACTCTCTTAAATAGAAACATTGTACCACATATTAACGATCTATAATCCATTACACGCCATCTCTATATACAATACTTGACTACCAGTACTATAATATATACATCAAATATTAGATATGAGGACTCTCTTAAATAGAAACATTGTACCACATATTAACCATCTATAAACCATTACACGCCATCTCTATATACAATACTTGACTACCAGTACTATAATATATACATCAAATATTAGATATGAGGACTCTCTTAAATAGAAACATTGTACCACATATTAACGATCTATAATCCATTACACGCCATCTCTATATACAATACTTGACTACCAGAGCTATAATATATACATCAAATATTAGATATGAGGACTCTCTTAAATAGAAACATTGTACCACATATTAACCATCTATAAACCATTACACGCCATCTCTATATACAATACTTGACTACCAGTACTATAATATATACATCAAATATTAGATATGAGGACTCTCTTAAATAGAAACATTGTACCACATATTAACGATCTATAAACCATTACACGCCATCTCTATATACAATACTTGACTACCAGTACTATAATATATACATCAAATATTAGATATGAGGATAAGATTTGAAAGACATTTAGAAGTAAGGAGTACAAATCAAAAACACAAGACAATATTATGGACCACTACTTTGATAAAACTTCTAAACCACATCACAAAGTATCAACTATATTTAGATTACAAGACTCTCTTAATAGCTGAAGAACAAGACACGAATGGAGTTTTGCAGGGTGCAATGAGGGAAATTTTGCAACTGGAATAATAAGATCATAACCAGTTCCACTTTTTGGAGGAAGCAGGAATCACACATGGGGCATGATTGCACTATGTAAACAGAACATGTGGGAAGTATCTCAAGAACACTGAAAAGTCTAGAAAACATTTATGGAAATAAAAATCTCACCATGTTGTTCCTGGTTGTTGAAGAGGAAATGAAATTCTATTTTCATCACTCAAACCACGGTTATTTTCTCCACTCAAACCCTGGAATAGAATATAATCAACAGTTACCTCCCTTCTTTAAAACCCTAGCTCAGTGGTTAGTTAGCAACACTTTAAGTAGGGGAGTTTTACCTCATACTTTTCTGGATCTAATGGGCATATGAAGATGGAAACATGCTAAGAAGGATTGGTTCCAGTAAATACAGAGATTCAGTTTTACAGCAATGGACAAGGGTTGCAGAACAGTTCATGTCATGCCTTGATGACTAATATTGTTAAACTGATAATACACAATATCACTCTCGTTTTCTCTTGCCTCCTGTCATACATAACTCTTACATACTTCCTTTCAGACCACAATCACATCACTAGCAGATGATATTAACATATCATAAATAGATAAACTAATATTACCTGAACAGGTTGCCCGTCTTTCCAGATCAATGCCTCTGACTGGGAATTCCATATTAAATGAACTTCTTGTCCTGCCCAGTCAGTCGGTATTTCTAATTCCAGTTTAAACCAGTGTGTTGCCCATCTACAACATAAAAATTCGAAAAATAATTATGTATGTCTCTCAATTTTTTTAATTTATTTTTCTATGTAAGTCACGTTTCGACGAGGATTCTCCTGTATTTATGTAAAGATAATATTGCCAGGCAAGGTAATATACGCCCACTGGCAGCTTTGATTTTAAACAAAAATATTTAGCAGTACAGTAACAATCACCAGTATGAAATATTCAACCTTCAGTCATACACTTCTTTTGAACTTGTTGAACTTGGAAAAACACATAAAACCAAATTAAAAACTTAAATTACTTACGTTCGTCCGAAAGAATGTCCGACCTGCGTAGGTTTAAACTGTTGAGTGATAGCCTGTTGATAAGAGATTCTACCAGGGGCTGGGTAATTTAATATAGATTTTAGGGGATGTTTCTTTGGATACAGTCTGAAATAAACAAAAATTAGTTTAACAAACATCGTCTTTATTCATAGCCTGTTTCAATTCTAATTATTTTCAACCAATCAGAGCTTGTCAGGTAGAATCTGTTGCTTGATTAAATAAGGAATGTGGGGTAGTGAAATAGCGTATCCCAAAGTAAAGTGATTATTTGGTACCTCCCTATCCCACATTTCGTCATTTTATCAAGAAATGTTACTTCCAAAACACATTTTGATTGGTTAGAAATAATGACATTGAAACAGGACTGGAATAAAAAACTTGTTAGATTACAATGGAGATGAAATTATCAGAATAAAAGAAAAAGAGGTCGTGATTCCATTGTTATATTAAATAAACAGGTCTGCTATTTTCGGGGGTTTATTTGGGTCAAATAAACCTCAAACTAGAAATTTCTTTTTCTATTTCTATGTCATGGAAGAGTCTAAAGAAAACACTAGTTGTCAACTTAAATTTCAAACACATATAATTCTGGACACCTGGATTTGAAGGCTCAACTTTTGACGGTGAACTGTGAACACTATTACTGATAAGCTCAGCTAAAAAATTCCTGGTTCTGAGCCTGATTGGTCAAACAGATGACAAACCTGTACCTTTAAAAACATATTCTATAAATCTCTCACCCTAAACTAGTGTCCCTACAGTTGTCATTTTAACTATTAAATGGATGTGGAATCTGTTCCTTTATACAGATTAAGTTAATACTGACCTACTCCTCAGGTTTATATCAGTAAAATGATGAGAAGATATAAATTTCTCTGCTCGTTCTAAAGTTGTTCTCTTGTGTTTAAATGTCACATGTTCCATTTTATAATTTCAAACTCTGACTTCAGTCCTGCTAACCTAACTCTACAACTCCAGCTAAAGTCTTTTAAATTTCCAACCTTAGGCTACAACCTGAAAATACATGATTTGCTCTACAGAGTGTATTTACTTAAAGGAATACTACCTCTTAGAATGGACATAAAATTAAAGTCTCAAACTTTGTCAATGGATTTATTAGATTATAGAGAGATTCTGTTGTATAGTTTTGACACCAGGTAAGTCCAACAGATGAACAAAGATTCATTTTAGCAAAGTTTACAAATTTCAATTTTGTGGTCATCCTAAGAGGTAGTGTCCTTTTAATCAAGTTTATCTTATTGAATCACAAGCATTGTAAGTACAATTTGACAATGTTTTAGTCTCCTAAAGTGAAATTGAAATTTTGTGAAATGTGGATATAGCCTAGGTCTAATCAATTCATTATTGTTTCAGCAAAATGTGTAAACTTTCATCATTGATTTTTCATCTGTGAAGAAATTCAGAAATTCAAATATCAAAT